TGCCACAGATGGGCACACAAGTTGGACTCGTCTTCTCAGTGGCATGGCATTACTGGGGTGCCATCCTGGGGTGGGCATTTAGGTATGTTGGGTGGGCACCGGGGGGGGGGGGCAGACAATCCATTTGGATGGGCACTCAAACCCTCTCCTGCCCATTCACAGCCAAACCCCTGCTTCTCAGGGGAGCCCAAGCAATACAGCTGATTACCCACAATGCACATACACGTCCCAGCACCAGCTGACAATATTAATCTTCACCATATAGACTGAACGGATTGGTTGGGATCCCATTGCGGGGTGGGGGCTTGCAAAGTCAGTAGTAAAGTGTTCAAGACAATCAAAATGCAAGGTGAGTGAACAACGCGCGTTCAGCAATGCAAAAGTAACGCAGTTTGAGACTCAAGGATTTGGATAATTATGCATAAGTGGATACAGAGATATGGTCCAGCAAAGACTAGAAATGAACAAGCACAGAATTGTTTGGGATTGAAAAGTGGCACTAGCAATGCAATTCTGATTGCCGGCATATTAGACTTTCTCTGTAGTAAAATAAGTCTCAGCTGAGACTTTTGCAGGGCACTTATAAAAACAGCAATCAGACTCATGGTTTGAAATGTGTTGCTAAGAAAGACACAGAAATAGAGGTGTGAAAACACAGGCCTCCTCCATATGGAAGATAAGGGCTGTTGATATAGGATGTTGCTAACCTGATATGGATTAAAACGAACAACTGTGCAGTTTTAGAAAGCTGCATATCTCAGGAATTGCAACCACTGAGAAGGTCATGTTAACAGTGCGGGTGGCACAGCACTGAGGGTGCATAAACCGACGCACTCCACAGGATTGGAATGAAGAGAAGGAGAGTGGAACACCAAGGGGATGTAAACCAATCATCATGTCCCGGAACACTCGTATTAAGTCTCTTAATGGTAGCAGTAAGCAGAGAAATGAGGCCACAAATGGGTACAAAATGGGAGTGTGGCTTAGTGGTCTTAACATAAAAATTCTGTGAACTTTTAGTTTTATAGGGACTAAGGAGAGTGGAATTTTGTCTGACAAAGCTATCATTGAGGCCCTATTATTCTAATCTAGAGCTATTTGTGGCTTAAGATGGTGTGCTTGTGATCAGATGGATGTTAGTTTGAATCCCAATGTTACCTTTGGTCCCTTAAGCAGCACCCCTATACTTCAGTTGCTCTAGAGATTATCTGGCTTCGCTCTCTTGAACTTTATGGTGTTTTGTATAAAAGTGTCTGCTAAAATTTTTTTAATATAGTTTGGGTCAGAGGACGGCGCCCCCTACAGTATAGCAGCACTTCCTCCAGCAGCAACCTTCTGCATGCCTCCCCCCCTTTCATGTGCTTAGCATTTCACAAAAAAAAAAAAAACAGAATACTTACCTCTATTGTTCCTGACATGGAAAATTACTGTTTTCCTTCCTAGCACAGCATGATACGGTGAAATTCAATATAGTTACAATCTGCAAAATGCAATCCAATAAACATGATCATTTACTGTAATATGTCCTCATCTTGCAGTGTCTGGTGGCCCTCAGTTTTAACTCAAATTTCCGATGCCAGACTGCTTGTTTCAACAGTCTTGTGGTTGGCAGTAATTCCTCTTAAAATTTTAAACTAGTTCCACACTGTTGTTAATCTATCTGTGATTTTATGAAAGATGCATTTACGTGTTTTGTTATTCATTATAAGTCCTGCCTTGATTGTTGCCAACCCAAAGCTAATACGTAGGTATGTGCAGTTTTGTCCTGGCATCCAAGTAACAGAGACACTATAATGTACTGGACGTGACGGCTGTTGTGTGGAGCTGTATGCGAAGCCTTTGTAATTTAGGGGAAGCAAGACTGAATGACATTTTGAGCATTTTTATACATTTTCCATGCGATGGCAGCCTTAGATGAAAACATACACTATATAGGTACAGGTGTCTTTGTCGAGTGAGCTGGGAACATTTTCTGAGGGCTTTGTGGCTTGAGCTTAGTGCTCGTGTGCTGCTGTGACAAACCCATCTGTCCACTAGAATCCGTCTGAAATGCGAGGGTGCGACAATGGCCGGCAGGGTCTCCGCGGGAGGCCTGTCGCTCCCAGCCGTCATTTGCCTTGTCTGTTATTCCCCGATCGCAAGTCAGAGTGCAACCGGCCGCGCTGCTGCATCTTAAGGCTATTAAAATTTCACACTAGTAACCATGGAACTAATGAAGGTGCTTCTCCACAAATGATGTGGAGTGTTCTTTTATGTAAGGCGAACGTGTGCTGCCTGCACATTAATACTGAGCAACAAAGCAGTGTTCATTTTTTATACATTTAGTACTGCTAATTAATTCATGTAATACTAATCAATAATAACCAAATGAATTAACACTCTTGCATCTTTATAGTATATAGAAATTGATACTTTATTTGTATAGTATTACCCTATTTCCTAATCACATAGCAACCTAAAACAATTGGCTACTTCTCTCATGTGTGAAATAAAAACATTATTATACCTGATCCTGGAAAAAAACGGTGGGGAAAAAAGTTTAATACCACTTCATTGGTAAGTGTTTCATCAAATAGTTTAATATTCAGTCATGTTGCCAAGAATTTTTATTATCTAATAAGACTTACAGCTTCTGAATTTTTATTGTAATCCGCACAGGGGGTGTTGATAATGCCCAGTCACCTTCATTTTCTCACTGCAGACTCCATGGTAACTATGTTTACATGATCTATTTAGCAGAAGTGTTTGCCCACAGTGACGTCTGAGTGAGGATCACAGGGCAGGGTCATGCAGTGTCCTTGGCGAAATTGGGTTTAAGAGCCTGTGGCGAAATCAGCCCTGCCAACCTCGGGATTTGAAATGGCAACCTTCCGGTCACTGGCACAGAGCCATACACCACCCTTTGCTAATGAAAACAAAATGTTAAACTTTCCATATAAAAAATGAAACACATAACAAGAGTTAATAATTTGGCGAAACACAAAAACTGAATTGCTTTACAGTGTTTTTATGTGCAATATACAGTAATTCAGAATATAATGCGACGAAAAGGTGACCTAGAAAGAATTCAAGGTCTGGTGATTTTCTCTGTGATTCCAGAGCCTTCTTTAGTTCTGCTATCCGTTCTCATTCAGTCTTCCCGCTGTGTGATATTCAGTGCCATTGTCCTGGGCTATTGGGCACCATTCCTTGCCTTAGAAGGCAGCCTTTTAACATTTTACAGCTATGTGTAGTGTTGTTGAAAAAAGTAATTCATTACAGGCAGAGGAGGAATGGTCCAGTCCAGAAATGACAAATCTAGACCAAGGTTTTGTTTCAACCAACCACTTAAGAACATAAGAACAGTTGAGTATAAAGAGTCACAGTCACTGAGTACTCAACTGGTTGGTTGAAACAAAATCTTGGTCCAGATTTCTACTCTCTGGACCTGAACTTTCCACCTCTGGCCTCTGTGAGTTATTTCCCGGACACTGGCTATGTAATGGTTACCCTTAAGAGGTTTGAGGCTTCACTGATAAACTGTTACTATTGTTACTTTTAAATGCTGCATACTAAACCTGACAGGTCAGGTGTTCAAAGGCCTGCTATTTGCAGTGGTGCGATAACACAGAGTTATATGAAGTGCTGATTTTTCTGGTTGCTGACTGCAATTAAATGTGATTTCTCAATTTTCATTTGTCGGTATTCCACAATTACAACATTACCTCTGGGCTTAAGTAACACTGTTTGTTCTATCTCTTGGGCTGGGCTTCCTGGACCTCCCTCCCTGGAAGTTACAAGTGAAACATATTCCACCTGTATTTCATCGCACATTCAGTTCACCTTCAGCAGTGAAAATCTAGACAGCTGAACAGAAAACAATCCAGAGCTGAAAGGGGGTTGCTACGGTAACAGGCAGAACAGTCTAACAGCGAATTCTCGTTTCTGGCAGCTGCTGATTCTTTTTCTTAAAATTTAAGCTTCACTCATTCGCGACTCGGTGAAGAATTTTACAGAGATCAGTGGTTTTAGTGTCAGACCAGGTACAGCCCATTATCTGTTCAAAAAGCAGAAATGAAACTATTTTTGTCTGATTAAAGAGCGAACCACTTGATGTAACTGAATTATAAAAGGCCTCAGAAAAAAACAGACTTCTTAAAGTTACACTGCCTGTAGAGAAAGCTGAGCTTTATGCGTCAAATGGAGAACAAACACAGACACTCCTTTCATGGTTCAAATCTTGAGTTTCCTTGTCTCTTATGAATTTGGTGTGTGGCTCATGAGTTCAGCCACTGTGATGTTGATAGGAAAGTTGTTGGTTCAAATCGTGTCCCTGCATGAAGAGCCATTTGGACCCAACAACTCTGAAGGGCATGGTGGGCACTCAGCAAACCCTACCCGTGCAGGACAGCAGACTTCATAGCATATGGACCTGAACTCCCAAGCTAACATCACAAGAAGAACATTTCACATGCCAACCTAGATGTATACTTTAGAGTTGCTCATTAGAGAGAGAAATCTGCTGATGCATAACCATTCCATTTCTCCCTATAGTGCTAAAACGACAGTACAAAACGAAACTCGTTTAATTTTCTTTTATATTGGCACCAAAGATTGTCATGACAGGAACAACACATGCAAACACAAGTTGCAAAATACAACTTGTTACCATCCATAATTGCTCAGCTTGTACAACAGGGAAAAGCTACAGAACAGGTGAACATTCACGGAACCAATCTAAACATGCAAAAGAGCTGAAGGTGTTACGAACTGAGTCCAGCTTTCATGTTTAAATTTCTTTCTATGTAATTACATTTATTTATTAAGTTAGTGTGCGTGTAAATAAGAGGAACTAAATTGAAACGTGTATATATGTTGCAATAATACATCACGAAATCAGTCCGCAAACATCACCTTTCCATCCATTTATGATGTGGAATATAGACCGGATACAGCATGCGGACAGACAGTCGTTTTTGTATGAACACAAATAAAGTTTAATTTGAACAAAATGGCGGCGTCCATGAACATGTTTACCGGGCGTGTTTAGAGGCTGGTGGTTAGCTGCAGAAGACCACATTTTGTTGTGCAAATGACATTCATATTTTAAGAATACCTTTTAAATGGGACGTCTGGTACCGAATATGACTTAAAATAAAAAGGGCAGCTACTGCATTTTCTAAAGTAAGTTACATAGGTTTGTTTTGAAAATCTAAGAATATGAAAACGGTAAATCATGTGTACTAATAGCACTGTACTGAAAATCATCGCAATGACGTTACACGGTACTTAGGAATAAAATAGGGTGACGGTCCGTCCTTTTTTTCCCGGACGTGTCCTCTTTTTTGCGACCTAAAATGCCCGGAATGTCCGAGCTTTCGTTGTGTTTCATGGTGACATTAGCAGTCATCAGTCAGAATACTTTCTGTGCGCATGTATGGGTTGCTTTGACGCCTCTCTTCGCGTCCTGCCCCCGCTGTTTTGTTTTTTGCAAAGCAAAATATGGTCGCCCTATGTAAAAATATTGTTATTCTTGTAAACCGTACCCAAGTACTAGTTTTGCTATTCTGATGATTGCAGCTAAAGTATAGAGTTTACTCAGTTGAGGTGCAAGCACTCAGTGACCCTATATCATAAATAAACATTAGGCCTTTCTTTTTTAAAAAATTTTGTTAAAGGATATTTGACCATGGTAGAGAGTGTCACTGCCATGGCAGTTTGACATTATCCTACTCCCAGGTCTTGTAATCTGGGGGGTGTCCCACAAAGCAGGAGTTCTCGGTTAGCTGAGACCATAAAGAGACTTATGCATCCTGAACCTGCTTGCCAGTAGGAATGCTCCTTACTTAAACTCTTATTTGACAAACATGACTATCTTAAGTTAACCCAGCTAATTGAGAAATCCTGCTTTGTGGAAAACCCCCCAGTGAGTGGATCTTAACTTAACTGTTAAGTATTCTGATGACATAATGCACACATGGATTGGTGGTGGATGAAATAGTTTATGCAAAGGAGAAACAAAAGCTAGATCAGTGTTTGACTCTGAAACTTCAGTTCAAAACTGGGAGCAGAATCTGGTGCGGAAGCTGTGTGTGGCTCTGTGGGTTAGTACTGTGATTGAAAGGTTGCTGGTTTGAATTCTGTGTTCAGCAGAGTGATTTCATCATTGGGCCCTTAACCCTAATTGCTCCAGGGACTGACTCTCCCTGCTTTCACAGTTGCACTTCGGTTTGTGTAAAAGGGTCTGCTAAATTAATGTAATCAGAACCTATAAAAACACACAGAGCTCTGAAGTAACATGAGCTTTCAACATTACAACCCAAAGTACAGTGCAACCAGGTCAGTTTTGGTCCTGTAAAAGTGAAGCAGGTCACAGCTTCTGGAAGCTTTCAGTTTAGGACACCCTGATGACACTGCAGTCTGTCATATATATGGGAAATCAAATATAGCTTTTTTTTTTTTTTTTTTTAATAAACATGAATTCTCACAGCAAGCCAAGCATGGTATAGTGTCTTTCAGCGAAATGATGCTGCATCCATCAGTCTCCTGAGCTTCCTGATGTTTGGACTCGCTCTCGCTTTACACCTTAATTCTGAAAAGAAACTTTCATTTACCCTCCATCTTTCATACAACTATTTTTCAAGATTTTACTTTTTAATCAATTTTTTTTTTTTTTTAATGGTTGGGAGGTTATTTTTCTTTTTTCACAAATGGTGTGGCTGATATCAAGGCTGCGTACTGTAACAGATTACTCAGCACCCGCTTGATCTGAACATGAAGAGGGGCAGACTGCTGCTGCTGTTGTCCCCATCAGAAGGGGAAGCGTTTATTAGTCACTCAAAAGGACGACGACGTTCCGTAAGAACGGTCATCTTTCTTCCACCTTGAACATGTTGCAGCATGAAGATGCTGTTTCCCCTTCTCCGTAGGTGGCCATGCGAGTGGTGAGATGCCGGCTGGCTCTGTGCCCCCTGCGGGTGGCGCCGGCGGGCTGGCGCTCAGGTATCCGTCCAACCCGGCCCGCCGGCGCCGTGGGCAGCGTGCGGACCCTGTACAGCGAGACGGGCGTGTGGGACAGGGAATACCGGGCGGAGACGCGGCGCAGGGTGGAGCTGTGGTGGAAGCCGCGTATCAGGGAGTGGT